TCGGAAAAACCATCGAACGTGTAGGACAAAAGTTTTTTCGAGTTTTTCATACAATTATCATGCGATTTAAGTAAAAAACTACTTGTTAGCAATAAATATTGATCATTCACCAAATCGACATGTTTGACACCCCCGCGCTTTATTAGCTACCGTTTTCGAGAATTTTCGTAGAGGGAAAAGTTGGGCGTCTCGTCAAAACGAAGCTATTCCCCAAAATTCAGCTTGTTATTAATCAAAGAAAAAAAGGGGTCTGGGCCAGTGGACTAAATTGTTCAACATCATAAAGGTGAGGTAGATTTGTAATGAGGATTTACATTCAATAAACCCAAAAACGTATAATTATGGTATCTTTCTAACCCTCACACAGTTTTTCTGGTTTTTCTCGATTTGACCTTGAAATGGCCTTGAAACTGACGTGATAGGATCCAGAATTAATAACCCCAAAAACTATTTTAACCATAAACACATTTTTTAATATCCGTATTCGTTGCAAACATAAAACAAACAAATAGAATAAAATATTCCAATATTCATGATTTTTTTCTCGGAAAATATGCTTTAAATATTCTAATAGATATAGGGACATTTTTTACTTAAAATTTTATGTGGAATTCGAAAATATTTTTTATTTTCAATATTTTAAAATTTTAATACTCGGTCAGCCGTATCGGATCCGCCATCTTGAATTTTGAAAATCTAACGCTGGATTCGGATTCAGCGACCCCAAAGACATATAGACACGATGGTTTGGTCTTTCGAACCAGGTAGATACTTTTTCTTGTGGCTATGTGTAATTAATCCAACAAATTGTATAAAAATAGTATATTATTTTTTCTGAATAACTAAAAATATTAGAACAACAATATTTTGCCCAAATTCCTTTCATTTTTCATTTTAAAATTAGTAGTTAACATAAACTAGCGACGCAGGTGCGTTTTTAACTTGAAATTTGACTTTTTAATAAGAATTCCAATGCTATCACCGTATAATCCTCTTATTAACCTTTCAAAATCACTTCGGGCCGGTCCTATAGTGCAACCATCCTTTGTTTACCTTCCTGAAAACCAAAAACGTGTCTACAAATGCTCCACCCGCGTAAAATATGAACTCGATGCAGATTTCAGACCAGTCGCACCTTGAAATTTCGTTAACTAGTCGACATCATGCCATCTTCTCCGTATCTTGCCGTCTTGCTTTACATTCTCGATGTGTCAGTCGGTAGTGCTTCTAATAGTAAAGTCGTTAGGACCGATGTCCACCCAACAACATTAAAATCGCCTTCAGAAAACGTTACCGCGTGCGGTGAAGTGCATATTGGAAGACAATTCACTCTGACATCTCCGAACTACCCCAAAAATTACTCCGCCAACTTGGATTGTCACTACTTGTTAAAAGGCCCTCACTGTCCGACGTATTATCAGTTCGAGTTCGTGAATTTTTCTGTGGAAGGTTCTGAAAACTGCGCTAAAGACAGATTTGTGGTTGGGGATCAAGATGTCTTGTGTGGAAACAAAAACAAAACGAAAGCCTACTTCGCTGTCGATGGTTCACTGCATGTAAGATTTAAGACAGATGAAAACGGTTCTGGCTCAGGATACTTGATAAGGGTGATCCGTAGAGTGTGCGAGAAAATTTTGAAAAATGTGGCAGAAGCTACGAAAAATGAGACAAAGGTAAGACAGATTTTTCAATGCTCAACGTTAACAAAAATACTTCTCGACAGTTACAGGGTGTTAATAAATTACACTGCCAAATTTTAATGTATTTTACGTCAGAAATCAATTAAAAAATCATATAAACATGTGTCCGGAGATGCTACATTTTTAAGATTCAGGGTGTTCAAATTAAGAAAAAAATATCTTCTAAAATGCTTGACGTATATTGATGAAATTTAAGCTAATCAAATAACTAATTACGAGTAAAAATTTGCTACATTGGTGCATACATCTGATAACCACTGGTGGAAATACTGGGGAACACATTAAAACCCTTAGAATTTCGACACCAGTGAACAATTTGGAAATAGGAGGTGTCTTTAAATTGGGCTAGTATTTCAGATAAACCGATATATGTTATTTTATTCGAGAAAACCTAATATACGACACACCTAAATATAGGATGATTCACAAATGATGACCAAAAATTTTAAATAATTTAAAAACTAGTAAGTGAAATAATTTGAAATTGGGCACATGTATTTATGTAAACATTGTCCAAAATCTGAGGCGTTTTCCCAAAATTTAGATGCTCCAGTGGCGGAGATACAGGGTATCGGTGGCATATTTTTCTAAATAAAATAGTACGCCACTGCTTTACGATAAAAAACAATATTTTCGTATTTGTCTTTCAATTTTCTACAAATTACTAGTCTTTTATGTTTTTCAAAAAAAGCCTGATTTTCAAGTAAAACTTAAAAAACCAACTGAAAACACTTATACTTAAATAACATAACAAGCACTAATCATTCGGTTATTTATTCGAATAAAGAAATTTATAACATTTTAAAGATTTACTATTATTTTATTTGAGTAAATGCTTAAAAATACCTCCATTTTCAAGAAGTAGTAATTTGTAGAAAATTGAAAGACGAATTCGAAAATATCATGGTTGTTACCGTAAAGCAGTGGCGTACTATTTTATTTAGAAAAATATGCCACCGATACCCTGTATCTCCGCCACTTAGTTATGTAAATTTTAGGAAAAACCCTCAGATTTTGGACTATGTTTACATAAATACATGTGCCCAATTTCAAATTATTTCACTCCCTGGTTTTCAAATTATTTTAAAAAATTAAAAATATTTTTTGAAGTTTAACATCCTGTATCTTTTTAACGAAGCGTCCTAGATCAAAACTTTATAGAATAGACCCCTTAAAATTCATCAGAGAACACGAGGTTTTACACCATTTGTGAATCATCCTGTATATTGAAAATAACTACATTATTCATGTTACAAAATAAATCCACATATTTTTTTATTGGAAATACAATTTTAAATATGTTGCAACCATGAAAAGTCCAAAAAAGAATTGATGAAAAAAAATTTCTGGAGGATAGTAAATTCTTCAAAAAAAATAAAAGTTTCTCGCCAACTACTTTTTAATTATTATGGAATTGTATTTAAAATTGTGTTGCTAACAAATATATCCATTTTTTGCAAAACGAACTTTTTTGTTAAGGGATTATTTTTATTTTATTTAACTAATCGCAAGCTCTCTTAAATTTAACAAAAATAATGACTTAAAATCGATTTTTTGAAAGAAGATATTTTTTTAGTTTAACATCCTGTATCTTTTAATTATTTTTTTAGATACTAACCGGATTAAAATGTACTTATTTATTCAGTTTCCAAAATATTTTTTTGTCTCGAAATTCGAGGGTTTTAGTGACGGTTTTTTCGAAACTCTCCGCCACTGGTTGTCGGATTTGTATATCAACTCAACAAATTTTTGCCTATAATTAATTAAATCAATATTCCAAGTTTTTTTCTATCTGCGTCAAACATGTAAGACATTATTTAAACAAATATAATGCAAGTATTTTTCTTAATTTCAAGATCTCGAGTATCAGTATCTCGAAAACTAAACATTCCCGGATACATCTTTATAAGATTTTATTTTTAATTTTGTCAATAAAATTGGTTGGAGTATATCATCAATACCCTGTATTATACAAATAAATCTTTATTAGGATTAAGCAATAGTATCTAGATACAATAATTAATATATTTTATAAACTTATTTATATATCCGTGCTTCTGATGTATTTTTAAGTACTTATAAGACATTATTTATACAAGTATTTACAGTTTGCAGCGTGTTTAAAATAAAAGCACTTCGGGCGCCATCAGAAAATATACACATTTATAAAACGATAATTAAATTATTACTCCATAATATTTAATGTATTGACAGTTATTGATAAAAATTTGTATAATATGATGAGGTGCGGATTAGAATTAGATAATCAGAGACAAGTTGGTTAACTTTAAAAAATATCAAGGAGAATCTGGTAAATCTTACAATACTTTGTTGGGTCACAAGACAGAAATAAAGAAATAATCAGCATATTATTTTAATTACATTATTAATAATGAGAAATAAAATGTCCTTTAAGTTTAAATCCCCAAAAGCAATCATTACTTAGATTTCTTTTAGAAAATGCCAAAGAAACAAATTCATGAATAATAGAATTTTAATTTGATATTCTAAATATTTAAAATATCCACTTCCTCTTTTTGTCCAATTATTTCTATATGTAACATTAACATTAAGCTCAAAAAGAATCTTCGACAGAATTATCCTTTTTCTCCTGTAATTAATATTGAAAAGAATTTTCAGGGTTTCAGTATTTTTTTACTGCTTTGTTTAGTTCCTTCAATAAAAGGATTATTATCCATTATGTTCGGAAAACCTCATCATGTTTTTTTTTGTAAAAACCTTGAAAGGAGATAGTTTGATAATAAGCAACGTTTTATTATGTCGTTTTATAATCCACTTATGGAACAATAGCCCTGAGTAGAGCGATTTTATGGAGAAACCATCATTTTTCGATAAAATTATACTACCTGGTTTCTTAATTAATGAAAGATTTGTGGTGGTTGTAATAAAAAGTATAAAATTTTATGTCTATATTTAACACTCTCTAAGTATACAAGTTACAATTGCAAAATGATTACGTAAATATTTTCGGATGTAAAGTTTAAAAACTGTGAATGTAACACTGAAAATATTATAAACAAAGACGATACAAGGCTCTCTAGATGATTTACATTGCATCGTTAAGATCCAAGGAATAAAATAATGAATAAATTAACCATTATCAAAGTAATTAAAGCAAATAAACATAACCATCATTATTTAAATATTCAAATAGATTTATTAAATGCAGAATAGCATTGTTTTTGACATCTCATTGCTAAAACCTGAATTTATGCATATTATTAATTTAGATTTTTACTCACTTCTGATTATTCTGACCAATTTTACATCCGTATTAGGGGAATGCTACACTAGGGAGCAGATATTTAACATAACTGGATATTTAATATAAATAAAGATGACACACTCTACTAAGTAGGTGATTTAAGGAATATATAGGGTGATTCAGAACTTATCCAAAAAAATTCTGGATGTACAGGGGACCCTTACAAATACAATTTTGTAAAGAAAAAATCAAAAAGGTCAGTTCGAAATTGATTAAAAAATACACTTCTGCACGGCACTGGAAACTGGTCCACTGTAAAACCTGACCTCGCACAATGCGACCGGTATGGCGGCGTGATAAAAACGGACAAAAACTTTCGCAAGGAAAGAAATATGTAAATAGAATTTTATCGCACCTATTTTATATTCAAATGCTTTTGCCTTTATTAATTATTAATAAAATTAATTTGTGTTTTTAAATAATCAAATCATTTGACATACCCGATGCTGCAACAGCAATTGTTCAAAATTTTATCCACTCACGTGTAAACACATTTGGGTCCGTCTTACTCACTTTCTACGAACTAACACAAATGATGTCTTACTTCACCATAACACAAATACTTCACCATAATACAAATGTTGTCTTGCTTCACCATAAATTAAAACGATATCCATCAACTCTGAGTTGTTATACACGCAAGCCATTTTTGACACTAACTACTAAAAAACTGATGTAAATACCACAGATAACAGGTAAAAACTACCGCAACGACGGATTTCAGTATTAGGAGTAACATGGCTCTCCAAGCGTATTGCGAATGATGCTAGAGACTACAGTTGTCCAGCTATGTAGTGGTTTAATGTGCTATAACTTCAATAATTTGTTTCTCAGAAACTATAAGGATTTTACAAAAATGTTTTTTACAATATTGACTCCATTTCTCATGCCGCACCTATTCCCAAATTTTTTTGGATAATTTGTGAATCACCCTGTATAGTACTAAGTTTACATAAAGAATATTTACAGACTGCAGGATTACCTTTACTGAAATTTAACGTTTTTAGAAATAGTTTGAATAATTTTACGTTTCGTCTCAACTTTCGATTAATTTTTTATCTTGTAAGCATACAACAGAATAAACCGAACCTCACATATGTATTAATTATGCAAGATATTTTTATATCTCTGTTTTTGGAATACATTAGTTCATTAATAAATATCCTTAATAGTTTGAACACACTGGCGATTTTTTTAAAGATAATACTCATAAATTTGTCAGATTAAGAGGTGAAGGTTATTGTGAACACCTACGGCGACATTTCTATAATAAGCAGATTCTATTTGACAATAAACAAATGAAATATATATGGAAGAATAAATACGTTCTGAAGCAAGAATTGTTTGAAATATTGATAACATCGGCCACGATAATGTCAAGTCGCCCACGTCAATATTGTTTGGACAATATCGTCTAGTAATTATATTGTCGCGTGGCTTTCACTTTGGTTAGATGATGACTAGATAAGTGTATCGAAGTAATTTTTGTATCATGGTTTACCATAAATCATTTAAAAATTAACGGGTTTTTGTTGGCGTAGCAGACAAATATCAAATTCACATTAAAATGCCGCACAAACAAAGGAAATGTACTGATACTGAAGATCCGTATCCTACTGACAAATAAGCCAGTATTTCAATTAATCTTGACTTTTCAGAAATGCAACGTATCACTAATATAGTAGTAATTATAGTCCGGTCAAATTAGTCGTAAAATAGTGGTCAAATAACGAAAATTCCGACAGAGCTAAATTGTGGTGGAGACCTTGGGTACACTATTAGAAATAAAGTGTCAAAAGTCCCCATCGATCCCATGTGTGCTAAAAAAGTTCAGAGTCAAAGGTCAAAATTTTATGTTTTTTGTATTTTTTTCGAAAACGGTAAATTTTATCAAAAAAGTAGCCCCAACAAAATTATATATCTTAAAATTATCTACAAAAATGGTCGTTATACTTTTTTTCTAAGAATCACCATTCCTGAGATATCGCGAATCTAAAAGTTGAAGGAGTCACGTTCTTTGTGATATGCACATATATGCCACGTATATACATAGTCAGGCACTTAATACAAGTAAAAATGCCTATTTGTGTCTCATATGTATAAACTATACCATTCTAGAATATAAACTCAAAAGAAACTCAGTCCCTTAGTCAATCCCCTCTACCTGCATGGCTTTGAATAACATCTGGCTGCCCTATTGTAAAAACTTTTGTAAAAAACACACGAAACAAGAAACAAGTACAACTATCTTGTCTTTCTCCAATATCTGCTTCTGCTAAGCAACACTTGTATCGAGTATACTATCAAGTTCAGACATGGCTGGGCAATCAAATGAACCCAGAAGACTGGGGTTGAAAATTAACAGATAATACTTTGGAACCGATTCAAACTTTACTCCCACCTGCTCCAGAAAAACGCCTAAACACTATTTTTTGCAATTGCAAAAAAGGTTGCAGTGCTAAATGTGGCTGTAGAAGAGTAGGGTTACTGTGTTCTCCAGCGTGTACTAATTGCCAAAGCCAGTTTTGCTCAAATGTCCAATTGAATACAACAGACGAAGATTCAAGTGATTTCGATGAAGAGACAGCTGATTCATGTTAATTTGAACAATTTATGAACATCCAGCAAGAAGAAGAGGAAGAAGAAGAAGAAATCGAAGAAGACATGACTGCTGAAATCGACTTTGAAGAGTATGAATCAGATTAAAATATCAAAAAAATCAGAACTACAGTTAAAGTCAATAACCAATATCAATATCAATAATCATCATGCAGTTAAAAGAAAATTCCATCATAACAGTTCGCGTAGTAGGCCTACCGGGGAAACCACGTTAAAAAAATGCACCAAAGTACACTACCTCACAGGTGGTGACTCCTTCAACTATTAGAATCGCGATATCTCAGGAATGGTGATTCTTAGAAAAAAAGTATAAGGACCATTTTTATCAGAGCTACATTTTTGATAAAACTTACCGTTTTCAAAAAAAATCCAAAAAACCTCAAATTTTTACCTTTGACCCCGAATATCTTTTTTAGCACACATGGGATCGATGGGGACTTTTGACACTTTATTTCTAATGGTGTACCCAAGGTCTCCACCAACATTTAGCTCTGTCGCAATTTTCGTTATTTGAAATGTATATTTTGACCGGACTATTAGTGATAATCCTTCAGCGATAATTTACCTTTGATATTTCAACTGACTTTCAACAGAAACCTGGATAAATTTTTGATAGATCATTTCTCAAAAGCAAAATGCTCTTCATTGAACGGAAACTGAAGCAAATTGAATGTGTATCATATTATTTAATCCTTTTTTGTGGTGTTATTACATTTTTATAATTATGTAATCATCGAAGATGATTCTAGTTTTGATTAAAACTGGAGAATGAGGTCATTATTGTCAAAAGACAAAAATCAGACAATTTACAAAGTTATCCATCTGTGAATAGAACAATCTCAAGGTTAAAATATTATGATTTATGGACGTATTATCCAAGATTAGTTAAACACAATCCGACTAAATTTAAATTAAATCTTTTAGTGTTTACTAATAACAGAACAAAAATAATAACGAGCAATCAAATAAAAACGTGGTCAAGTTGGTTCTGAAAATTTGGACGTAGGGCGTAGCGTATTGCAAATGAATTTAAACGTCATCTGTCAAAGCGCTATATCGCCGCTATCAATTTGAATATTTTCGTTTTAAAAAGCGTTTAAAATAGTGTTTTCTCAAGAACAAAAAGTGTTTATCATAGAGTCCTACTTTAGAAATGGACGCAAGATTGATGGAATATGGAAGTATTCTATTGAGGAATGTTTCATAGAATTTCAAAATCAATTTCCCGGCGTTGTGAGTACAAAATTGTGCAGTTCAGCGTTGTGTTAATGTTTTTCGTGAAACGAGCAGTGTAACAAGAAAAGAAGGAAGCGGCCGACCTAAAAAGCGGACTGAAGAATTAAAAGAAAATGTCCAACAAATAATGGAAAATGCGCCAAGAACTTCTGTACGTGTTTTATCACAAATGGTGGGAGTATCAGTCGGTACCTGCCACACAGTGTTAAAAAAAGATTTGCGTTTGTTCTCCTATCGTTTAACTTGTCAGCAAGAACTTCATGAAGTTGATTTTCCGCGACGGGCTGTATTTTGTGAATGGTTTTTAAACAACTACGGTGAACTTCATAATATCACCTTTTTTTCTGATGAAGCCTGGTTTCATTTAAGTGGTACGTAAACTCACAGAATATGAGAATGTGGTCTTCTGAAAAACCAGATAACTTTTTTGTCGAGGGCCCTCTACACGCTCAAAAAATTGGAGTTTGGTATGCTCTCAATCGAAGGAGGATTTATGGACCTATTTTTTTTTAATGGTACTCTTACTGCGCAAAGGTATAGAGAAGAAATTATCGCTCCTTTTGTTAACCAGCTGGAAGAAAACGAAATTACAAACTTTTACTTTCAACAAGATGGCGCAAGGGCACATACGGCAGGCGAGACGATGAATATGTTGAGGGAAGTTTTCCAAAATCGACTAATAAGTCTCAATGCTGAACATGAATTTCCACCGAGGTCATGTGATATTACGCCGTGTGATTTCTTTTTGTGGCCTTACCTTAAAAACACTATTTTTGAACTGCCTACTCCTGATTTAAACCATCTGCAGGCTCGACTTATAGACAAGATTCGTGAAATTAACAATACCCCGAGCATCTTAGAAAATGTCTTTAATTCTTTGAGGAACAGGTGTGAAAAGTGCTTGGAACAAGGAGGGGGACACTTTCAGAAGCTGCTTTAATTTATTGTTATAACAAGGTGGGGGACACTTTCCGCAGCTCCTTTAATTGTTTGTTATTGTTATCACGATTATTCTTTAAAATAAAATTATATAGTCATTAACGTTATTGAAACTGACAGCTGCTATACAGCTCGTTGAGAAATGAGGTTAAGTTGGTCGCTATAAGCTACTCCCTACGTCCAATGTGTCAGAGCCAACTTCGACCACGTTTTTATTTGAATGCTCGTTATAAATTTAGTCCTTTATCGTATAAATGAGGAGTATTATTTAGACAATCCAAATATTTCTGATTTACCTCTGTATCAATCAAGTTCTATTCGTATAGTGTGCAAATCATCAAATAGTCAATATTAGCAAAACAACACCTCATTTCGGAATGATGAAACAATTCTGTATCTCCATCCTCATGTTTTTCAGGACACAACTCATGAAAGAACTAAAAGCAGCGTACCATCCATCCAATCCAGAATGTTCATACCCAAAATCGAAGAAACGAAATCCCACTGCTGCGGCACTGTCTACAGCTCGAAAAGATTCGTACTAACCAGCCCAAACTTCCCCTACACCTTGAACAAAAAGACGGAATGTTCCTTTGAAATACACAAAGCAAACAATAACATCTGCAGACTGAGACTCAACTTTCTGTTCTTCTGGATTAGCTACACAGACCGTAACAACTGCCCTTACGGTTACTTGGAAATCGACGGTAAATACATCTGCGGCTGCAACAGCGACCTAAAACTCACCACTGCTTTCGGAGACAGCAGCGTCAAAACACTGAAATTCAAAACTGAAGGGCACAGTGAAAATTTTAATACTGGTTTCGTTATTGAAGTTATCCAAGACGAGTGCCCGAAAAAATATTCACCAGAAAACGTTCTTACGTTGGTCAGGAACGGCACCCACTACAAACTTTACAACGATCAAATTAATAGAGTGGCGTGGCCTAGTGATGCTCAGAACTTTGTAGAAAAGTTACAACTGATCAATGAAAGGACTGAGATCCTCGACGAAGACCAAAGCGTTATCTTTAAAGACCATCCCAAAGTTGTGAAAAGTATTTACGTTTTTGCTGCACCAGAGTACAACGACTTTGCCCCTTCGTATCAAGATAAAGAAGGAACAACTTATCTAGACTTAAGCAGTGTAAACTCTGTTCTAACTAATACTAATTACTATCAGTGTCTGGGCTGGAATCAGATGCAATACAAAGTTCTAAACGCAAAGTACGGGAAAGTTTTAACTTGTCCGAGGAATGATGAAAATGATGCCATTAGTGTAGGGGAGAGGGATTGTGTGGATTTGAGTTACGTCAGTGGATATTTCAGGAGTCCTGGATATCCTTGCTATTATCCTAAAAATTTAAACGTTTGTTACAGGTAAGGAAATGCTCGAAAGTAACATTTTATAAAATATAAATATAAAATCTAGTAAAGGGTTAGATGCTACCAAAGTGCACATTAAAATGTTCATGTTTTTTTGGCAAATTAAATAAAAAGATTTTTTGCAAAATGAAAAATGATTGATAGAGCATCAAATGCATTTACAGTGAATTAAATAAAAGTACATTTTTGTGTAAAATGCTAAAACCTAACCTCGAAAATTATACATTTTAAAACTAACAATGACGAATTTAGCAGTCTCAAACACTGTACTTAATGCAATACATTATTTCAAGAAAAATCTCATTTTACGACCTGTATCTCAAAAACAAAAGACAACAGGCTCATGGTTCAAACAAAAAAAGTCATAGCCTTCTTTTTCAAAACACTTCAAATAAAATATGAAACAACATTATTTCAATTCTTATTTACTAATTTTATTTACAGACTAAAGAAACAACCAGGATATTGCACAATAAAGGTGTTTGTCCAAGATTTTCAAATAGAAAACAGTTTCCACTGTACGAAGGACTATTTTCTGTTGGCCAACGGTGAAAAACATTGTGGAAATAGTTTAAACAAAGCATCCTGTAAGTTGCACCTATAACAAATATTTACGTACTAGATATACGTCAAGAAACAAATCTGCAAAATGTGACAAGGCAGATATTAATTTAAAGTAAATAAAAACAACTTCTTTACAACAAAACAAAGTAAGACTCAATTTAACGTAATTTAATAGATACTTATTATATTATTAAGTACCTACATAGGTAGCTAATAATGAAACTATATCGCAATATTGTTTAATCTCTTGAAACACCTTTTTCAAGACGTAATGACATAAACAAATTAAAATCACTAGTCAAAGAATTTCTGAAGTAAGAAATGAAGAAAAATTAAAAAATCTTTTTAATTAATTTTGCGAAAAATATTACCAAGTCAACGGGGCAAAAGTTGTGACGAATTAGAAATATTTTCGAAACATATTTCCCCTTAATTAAGTACCTCCTTGTTTTGGGAATTTATGTGATTTAAATTTTTTGCTTTAATAGATTCCTCAAACTTTCCCGAATATGCAAACAAATTTTCCGAGAAATCGGTTCAATGTTTATTACAAATATATCCAAACGCTTTTGAAATAGATAGGTTGAAAAACTTAATATTTTGTACAGAGAAGAACAATTTCGTAATTTAGAAGTTCAAAAAACGATAGAAATATTATACAAGGAATTTAAAATGATATTTTCGGAAATATATAAATTGTTTTGCCCAGTTTTAACAATTCCTGCAACAAGTGTCTCGGTAGAAAAAAACTTTTTGTGTCTTAAGCGTATTAAAACTTAGAAATTGACACAGGAGTTCTTAAACAACTTATTAGATAATGATGACGATAGGAAAAGAACTATTGCAAAGTATTAGTGCCGATCCTCAATTTTATCACGTTATAAGTAAATTTGCAAATTTAAAAGACGGACGAATAAACCCGTTTGATAAAAACATTCACTATGTTTTTAAAATATTTTGTTAAATGTGGAGGCAAACGAATAGCTGGAGGCGTTGTTTTATATGTAAATAGATAAGTAGAAAAATAGTGCAAGCCTTAGTATATTATTTCTTTTGATATTTAAAGGAATGGTATTTAAATAGGCCAGGAAATATAGAGTTGGACGCGACTTTTGGTTTCGACAAGCATATTAGTTTCCACAGTCATGAAAATGGAGGGAAGATTGTTTACAGTCTCGTTAATTGTATAATTTTTACGTAAATTCACGTTTTTCGCTTATAACTTTTTCCTTTTATTTTCACGAGAAAACAGTAACGTAATTTTTTTTCGTCTTCAAAAGACCTAAAAAACTAGCCCTCGAGCGTCAAAAAATATTGATTAGATCAAAAGTTATAAACAGAAGAAGTTTATTTATGACTTTTGAATTAAACATTTATAAACTGCGTTATTATTACCAGAACGTTTTCGCATCGCATCCTCTCATAATCTAATAACTCACACGAAATCTGGAATCGGTAAGTTGAATAGTTGACAAGTTATGGCCTCATAAACAAATTAACTGATTTTTTTTATAGTAGATTTCATAATAATACATTGAAATCTATAATTTTTTTTTTAAATTTCAAATTTGTAACCTGGAAAGTTTTTTTATCTTTTAGCCTTAGTTGCAAAATGAAATATGCGACGCACGCGCGTGATATATTAATATATTATTACATATTTGGAAAGCTTATGAAAGGAGCTTTAAGTTAAAAAAAAATCGTCAAGATTTGTTGAAAAACACCGGAGTTACAGACTGTCAAAGAGAGGGTGACAGTTCGCATTTGAAGTAGTAACTTGGGTCTGCATGTTTAAAAATTAAAGGTTTATGTTACAAACTGTAAGGTGTAAAAGTGTTTTAAATACTCATTATAATCTCATAATAATGCCAAATTTTACGAAATTTGAAATGGGTCATCCCAGCTTTAATTTTTAACAGGTATTGGCGAATAAACTGTCAAAATTAATAGAAACAAGAGATTATCTAAATAAAGCCAGAGCCTACTGGACCATTTTAAGAATTTAAATTTCATCTAACGAATTACATAAAATCGATTTTTATTTTTTTTTCTCGATAACGGTCGCAGATAATCATAAGAGACAAAAAAGTTTCTCAACAAAACATAAAATCTAATTTTGATTTTAAAATCTACCCGCGGCGCACCGCACAAAAGTTCAGTAGAAGAAAAAGGGGCATAAACTCCGAAAAAATATCTAAAAATAAAATACTCTGTTGAATATCACGACCATTTAGCATGCCCAATGATGTAAGCCCTACAGCGTAATCTATATTCCAAATTTCAGTTAAATATCTCAAAAACTGTGGGAGCTATAGAGAAAAAACTAAAAAAATCTTAAAATTTCAACAACCTGTAGATCGGTAACGAAGGGTTTGCGGACCTATGTTTATATGAACTTTTAGTCATGAAATAAGCCAAAGAATTACCTCCTTCCTTATGTACATGATATTTAGGAACACCCACTATATTATTTTCAAGCGAATTTCCGTATACTTCATTTTGCAACTAAGGCTAAAAGATAAAAAAACTTTCCAGGTTGCAAATTTGAAATTAAAAAAAAAATATCTAGATTTCAATGTATTATTATGAAATCTACCAAGAAAAAATCCGTGCGATTGTGGAACACGTTCGGGATCGTCCAGACTAATAATTAGTTAATTTGTTTATAAGGCCATAACTTGTAAACTATTCAACTTACCGATTCCAGATTTCGTGTGAGTTATTAGACAGTGATAAGGAATGAGAGGATGCGATGCCAAAACGTTCTGGTAATAATAACGCAGTTTATAAATGTTTAATTCAAAAGTCATAAATAAACTTCTTCTGTTTATAACTTTTGATCTAATCAATATTTTTTGACACTCGAGGGCTAGTTTTGTAAGAATTTGAAGACGAAAAAAAAAGTAGGTACTTTACTGTTTTCTCGTGGAAATTAACGGAAAAAAGTTATTAGGCAAAAAACGTGAATTTACGTAAAAATTATAGAATTAACCACCCTGTAAACAATCTTCCCCCCATTTTTATTACTGTGGAAACTAATATGTTATTGTACATAATATTTAGCATCTATAGTAATAAATTCAGCTTGCCAAAACAAAAAGTCGCAAAATGGTCTTTTTCCTAGCCAATAAATTTAAATGTCGTCTTTTCATAACAAAATATTTAAAATTTTCTAAATAGGATTATTCAGAGATAAAGAATAAGATTTACTTCTACTATAGTCACTGAACTTTATGTACAGTACAGTATATTTGTTGAGATAGAATTCCAAGAAGACTCCTGCATCACTTTCTTGGAATTAACCGCATTCGACACGTGAGGTAAAAGAAAGAACAAGTTATCGTCCTTGCTTGTAACTTCCTCCCCATTCACGCGGTAGGTACGAGTAAAAATAAAAAAGGGTCAGCACATATATCTTCCTAGGACTCTCAGAAACTTTTACAGGGGACACCTTTTATCTTGATATGTGACCCAGGAGAAAGCTTTGAATAAATCTTCTTAATCTGACAATAGGACTACTTTTTCGACTATAAGTCATGTTTACTGGAAAATGCTATCCTGAAATTGTGATGGCCAAAACTTATTATGCAGGATAAAAGTTAAATGAGCGCTGAAATTTCAAATTGCGATTCTATGTTACTGTGCTCCCGAAGCTTAACTGGATTTTGTCCAGCAAATTAAATTATTTATTTGCGGGTTATGAACATCACTGCGCTGACAGTAAAACGTACCCGAAACCGATTTTATAATAGGATATTAAATCGTTAAAATAATAATACCTAACGGTTAAAATAGTAAAACTTTGGAAAGCTGGATATATTAGACAAAATAAAAGAAAACATACACTTCAAAATACGGTTTAAGGCAGTTACAGTCCCTTAAAACGTAAATTAAAAAGTTTTATTTGCCCGCAGCAGGTAATGACTCTTTTAATAAAATTTTTCAAACCTAAGATAAATTTTGCGTAAAAATAAATGAAGTTGAAGTACAATTCATACTGCGATTCGAAATAGGTAGTTTAGACAAGGATAAGTGTGTTCTATCATAACTGATTTCTGACGTAAAATACGTCATTAAAATTTGGCAGTGCAGTCGTTTATTGTAGATAGTGGGAAACAACTTTTAACAGTTTTTAATAGAAAAAGTTTCAAATCGGTAAATTCAAAGGCAAAGTTCAAGGTCTAACGACTGAAATGCTAGACTATCGGCCGAATGTGAGTTTGATGCAATTTTTACTAGATGAACTTCATTTATTAACTTTTACTGTTTACACAGGGTGTCCGCAAATTTCACCGATAACGCTTGACTGCATATTCACCACGATAAATAAATACGATATACGAAAAAAAGGTAATTAAAAATTTTTGGTATTTGAGTTACAAGCCTTCAAAGTTGTCCAAAATAAAACTAATTTAATTAATAACTTCATAACCCTTTTGCCGAATTTAATTAATAACTTCATAACCCTTTCGCCGATCCGTAATTTGCATGTGTGGATTGATGAGAATCGTAAAGAAACACGGCAATAATGACATCACCTGATAGCCACAGCAATCAACATCTTGTTTTCATCGCCTACTGAACTCAAAATTTTAAATCCGTGACTAGGGTTACCAGGTCTACTTCATGACAGACCCGGAGAAATTGATATCTAAAAAAAGTTCTCACAAAATCTGGGAGTCAAATTGGTTTCGAAGAAATCGCTCTCTAAGGACGTACTCAGGAAATATCTACTTCTCTATTCGTGACACACCTACAGCGGAAAATAATTGATGTCTAAAAAAAAACTGATGTAATCAGGAAATATGGAGAAGAAATCACGATTTTTCCAGGAATCCCGGAGAAATGACATGTTAACCCGGAGCACGAAGATGTACCATCAAAACCAGAAGACTCCGGGTCAAACCCAGAGATCTGGCAACCCTATCCGTGACACTGCTACGCAAACCGAAACATACAGACCTGCAATAATGCCATTTTCCCAAGAATAGCTTTCTGTAGGTGATTTTCTCAAGAGACAATGTTTTTTTTAATAACTACCTTTTCAATGTTGTTCGTTTTTAAAAACCGGAGAAAACTATCACCCAGTATATCGATTTGACTAAAACTTTAGGAAATAATACGCCATAATAGTTTAAATAAATGTACTAAATTTTAACGCGATCGGTAAAAGGGTTATGAAGTCATTAATTAAATTAGTTTTATTTTTGACAACTTTGAGGGCCTGTAACTCAAAAACCAAAAAGTTTTTATTTAACTTTTTTTCCTTGATCGTATTTATTTATCGCCGTGAATATGCAGTCAAACGTCGTAGGTGAAATTTACGGACACCCTGTACATTGTTCCTAAAGATATACAGGGTGTCCGGAAACACCGCTCGAATAATTCTAGGGGTGATTCTACATGTTAAACTATGAAGAAAAGTTCATATGAACATAGGTCCGCAAATGCGTTATAAGGTTGCTATGGCGATTCAAAGATTGCACCGGGATATAGGTTTTATTTTATATCTCTGGAACCGTTTCAGATAGCCATCTGAATTTTGGCATATGAATTGCCTTTAATAGTAAGTACTTTTCAGTGTTTTTACTAAATTATTATTTTAATCAGGGGCGTACCGACAGGGGAGGCCTCGATTTAATTTGTTCACATTTTTATTAAACGTCATATTTTTGCAGTTTTCTTTAGAAATTCTGATTCCGCGGTATAAATGACATAAAAAAGGTATTCTTGTAGAAAACCTGTCAGGCTAGCCGTTTTCGAGAAAATACTCTCCAAAGAAAATAGTGCATGCATGGTCGCCCAATAATAAAAATTTCTACATCAAAGTAGGCTTATGTCGGTGCTAAGTTGAAAATGGAAAAAGGTCAAATTACTGTAGTTACGGTAAACGAATTTGACATAAGGTTTAAAAATAAAGTTTATTCGATTATTATTGTGTTAATAACAGTGTAATTGAAAAAAATCATTGTTCTCGTCTTTCAAAAAATGCCGGAATACTCTTTTGCTGAAATGGCCGACATGCACTTCATGTATGGCAAAGCAAACGGTTGTGCTTTGGAAGCTCGGAGGTTGTACCAAGAAACTTTTCCAAATCGCCAGCTTCCTTCTGATAAACTGTTCAGCAGTTTACATCAGAGATTAAGAGAAACTGGTAATTTTACGCCAAATAAGAGAGATTGTGGACGAAACCGTACTACCCGAACGGCGCAGACAGAGGAAATTGTTCTACAACAGATTGAAGCTAATCCAGGTAGTAGCACCAGAAGAATTTCAGTACAAACGAATATTCCCAAAAGTGTTGTATGGGAAATTTTACACGAGGAACTTTTG